GGTCAGGAGGAAGGCTTCAGCCAAGTTTTCATGGGTGTGCCCCCCGTGGTGAAGAGTCACCGAGCTACACATCAGGATTCCTGCACTTTTCTGAATGTTAGTTCTGTAACCACCCTCATGGCACTTGACACACCTGACTGCTTTTCAGACCCTGGTCAGGAGCCCCCCAGAGCTGAAGCTGTTTTCTGAGGAGGAATAACTTTGGCATGGGAGAAAGGTGATGGTGTCCCAGGGGGAAGAGGGACTTCACTTCTCCGTAATTGATATTAATCTGAAACACAGAAAACAGTCTCTCCATATTCTTTCTAAAGTGGACAACTTATACTTCCCCAACTGAATACAATATCAATGAAATCGTCACTAGAAAAATAAATGTCTGATTCCTACCACTTGATGGAAAACAATCTGTTCTCTACAAAAATCCTAGAAACAAGCTGACCCTGTCTCTCTGGCTTTGTGGTGGGGCTCCATCGCTGTGGCTTGCTACCTTCTGATCACTGGGGCCTGCTGCCTGCTCCACCATCTCAGCTCTGCACACATGGGTTATGCATGTGGGAGAAGGCAGGAGAAGGATGCTATGAGCACACCCAGGCCTCCTTCATCCCAGGATGGCAGAGTAGAATCAGGAGACTTCTGTCATTATCAGGTTGGAGCTACACAACAGGAGTACTGTCCCACACGCCTGGTGCCCCCCGTTCTGGTTCCTCATTTACTGTTAGGAAAGCAACAAATTAGGAGTACAGGAAGTGAAGACTCAAGTCTCCTAAAATCTCTTGTTCTCCATTCTAAAGTCCCTGTGGAAAGCTAGGATCAAACTGTCATTGGCAATGCCCATTCAATATTTTCCTGAGTCTCCAACCTGCCTCCGTTAAATGTCCCATCCATCAAGATCACTCAAAACTTTAAAGGAAAACAAATCCAATAACTAAACCAAACATTCATTAGCAAAGATTTTTTAAGAAAAGGGGAATTTATACAATTAAGCTTACATTCACTTGAACAAGTAACTACAGAAAAGTGAGTCATACTTTCTATTGTTCTAAAGGCAGAATCAATAGGGAGACTCAAAGCAGCTCTTGGCTACTTAGAAATAAGAGATAAGAGATAATCATTATCTTTTCTCTTTGTTTCCCCCTACACACATACATATTCAATTATCATTTGTTAGTTTCACAATAGGAAAAAAGTACTTAGGACTTTTTTCCTATTGTGAAACTAACAAATGTTTTGAAAAAAAAAAAAAAAAAAAGAACAAACCCTGACAGATGAAGGCAGGTTGCTCTTAGAACTGAAAGAAATACAAACATGAAAGATGGGGTGGCCTAGAAAAATGCTGAGTAGAATAAGCCAGACACAGAAAGAAATGCCCTGCATGAGTCCACTGATGCCGAGTGTCCAGAAGAGGTAAACTGATGGAGTAAGTCTGGGAATGGTGGTTGCTAGGAGCTGAAGGAAGTAGGGGATGAAGTTTCAGTTAAAGGAGGTGAATGAGCCCCAGGGACCCAAGTCAAGAGTATTGCACTATATACCTAACAACATGTTAAGAGGGTGGATCTCAGGTTAAGTGCTCTTATCACAATAAAAAAAAAAATCAATAAAATGCAATGGAGGGTTTAATGTATCCAGTACAGGACAGGACCTGAGGCTGGGCCTAAGTTTTTATTATTAAAATTAACAAAGTCATTATATTATCATAAATAAAAAATACTTGACAAATGAAGCCACTCAGACGGTCAATAAATACATGAAAATAGGCTCAATGTCTTTAATCATTAGAGAGAAGCAAATTAAAATCACAGAATTCCATTCACAAACACTAGATGGCTAAAACCAAAAAGATGAAAAAGAATAAATATGGGTGAGCCTATGGAGCAACGCAACAGTGCTGACAGGAATGAAAAATGGTACCACCACGTTAAAAAACCAATGTGCCAATTTTTAGGAAGTTAAAACATATATGAACCCTACAACCTAGAAACTCCATGCCTCACTACCTGCCAAAGATAAATTAAAACATGTTCACAGAATAGCTAACATGCTGTTGTTTATAATAGTCAAAAAACTGGAGACAAGCCAAAGGGCAGCTGATTCCCATCAGTGCATACCTACTTTGCGGTACATTTACATAGTCAATCTACTGACCAACAGAGACACTACCAATGCATGAACCAATCTCAAAAATGGGCTCAAGAAAAAAACAAGACACAAGTTGTATATACTATATGATTTCTTTTGTATGAGATCCACTAACAGAGAAAATAAATTTATAGTGATACAAACCAGGAAGTTATTGCCTAGGGGTAAGAACCTGTCAGGCAATGACCCCTAGGTCTTCCAGACTAGGGCAACATATTGAGAGGGTGGATGATGACAGGCTGTAACTAAGTCTCAAACAAGACCCACGTAATTTAACACCCATGATCTACAGATCTGTTGTATGATACTCATACCTCAAAATTACACTGTTTATGATATATCATAATGATACACTATATATAATTTTTATTATATACTTTAAAAAAGGGACATAGGAACTAACTTAAGAAGTTCCAATTAGCCAAGGGCAAGATAACTCAACACTGGACAGAATAATATCTGTAGCAGTCTAAAACCCATCTGACATGTAATGCCAAGAAGAAAATTTACCTTCCCAGGCTAAGAACACTGAGGGCCTACATCCTGTTCAGGCCCTCTCAGGGCAAAAAAAAAAAAAAAAAAAAAAGGTAAGGGAAGAAATAATGGCACTCATTCCCTGAATCTGTCACTGTTTAACTTTCCACTGTGAATGAAAGTGCTCCATGTTATCTCTCCTCTGAGGGCCAGACCTAGCCCTGAATATCCAGTGGCATCTGAAGCAAAGTGACAAGAGGTCTGGTGTCAAAGGCCTTGTCCCTCCTGGGCCTGAGGGAGGGGGAGAAGGTCCTACCATTGCTGTTTCCGTCAGCTCTACCCCCACGTAAGCCTGTTTTTCTTGTCTGGCCTATGTTAGTCTTCCTTCCTTCCTTCCACTCCAAATATATAAATGTTTCATTTTGTCTCCAATTGGAGATGACTCTTTAAAAATGCATGTTTTGTTGCATAATTACAGGACTTTATATTGCAGATATGGATGTTAAAATAATAAACACATAAGAGAATACAAGGGGTGGTCCACAAACTATGTGTTGGCTTTTTAAATCTGCATATTTTTTCCTTTCACTGTGAAGCCCTTCTGTTAAAAATACAATTAAGAGGAATTATGTTTAGTCACCTGTATCCAATTAGTTTAACCGTTAGGACTTGGATTTAATGAGATTTATTCCGAGGATTTAATTCCCACATGAGGCAGTTATTTTCATTCATTTCCCTTTTGGAGACTCTACCCCTACCCAAGCCAGCCATGTCCCACAGTGTAGAGTGTGAGCCATAGAAAACACCTCATTACAACGAGAAAAATCAATGAAAAGTACACTGTTTGATTGAACATCATATGTAGACAAACAGTTGTTAGAGTCTTCTTGGAAGAGTTCTGTAAGTTCACTTAAAAAATGTGCTGAAAAACAATAGGTGTGGTTGCCTTGAAATTAATAATGGTATCCACTCCCTAAATCCAGTATTGTTCTACATTCAATTGTGAATGAAAGTGTTCATGTTATCTTTCCTATTAGTATTGGGCCCGATCCAATAAAACTAATCAATATGGAAATCTATAGTTTTTCACAAGCACACTAGATGGTTTTTATGGGTCAAGAGACAGGTGGGAAGTACTCGATTAAGATCCTTCTTCGGTTCTGTTTGTGATTATGCTCCTGAGCCATGCTGACCCTGAGAGAAACACTCCACACAGGACTGTTTGCAGCAAGCAGGCTACAGGCATGGGGCAAGCAATCCCCACTAACTGGCCCCAGCACTCCACAACACACACTAGAGTGTTTTCCTACATTGTCCTTGATGGGTCTTGGAGAATACTGCTAGATACATTTGCAGTTATAAAATAAAGGAGAAAAGACCATTAGGAATTTAAATTGTCTCCAAGGCTGTCACTATTTCATATTTTTTGATAATGCATCCAGTCCCCAGACATCCATATTAGCATGTCTAATCTCAAAGCAAACATGCCTTTTTCCTAGTAAGCAACTGGCTGCTTTCAAAATGCAGCTCCAACATTAGGGACCCGATGTTAAACATTCTGATACCATAAAGAAAAAGACATCATTTCAAAATACATATATTTAATGCATAACTAGAGTATGTTGCATCATATTTTTTGTTTTTTGCAGCAAATAGGTGACTTCTCAAACTATAAACATTTTGATAAAACGTATGATAGAGATGGAACAACATTCATAACTAATCTACTTATATCTACACTATAAATCCTTGTGTTTGCCAATGAGTTGAACTACAAACATGTTAGCAATGAACTAGATTTAAAACCTGCTTCCATCAAACATTCTCTCATCTAAAAATAACTCACCCATGCAAAGATCAGGAAACCAGACAGTGCAGATAGCAAATCATTAAGAAATAAACTATCTCCTAAAATATATATCCATGCTTAACTTCGAAGTAATTAAGTTAGAGTAAATTATATTGGGCTTTACTTCACACTAAAATAAAATCTCACATCTTCTACAACAGAGAATATATTTCTTTTATGAGATCAATTTTTATTCATTTAAAGTGTTCAAATAACAACTCAAATTGCCATTTGAAGTTTTATTTTAGCCAATGTTCAATGTCCTCACAAATATCGATATTTGATAATGCTACTTAATGAGGCTTTGAAGTAGTAGAATGAGGGTTTTTAAAATAAGAATAGACGGATGTAATTCTACTAACAGCTTCCATTGAAATAAGAAATAATACAACTTGGTTAAGCTGCTCACTCACTCTCATTAAGGTGATTTTCTGTTAGGGTCCACAAAAAAAATTAATAGTATCCATTTGCTAAGAAGATAATAAAACAAAGAGGAGTGGAAATTAGCGGTGCCATGGACACTGGCTAAATGAAAGCATACCTTTCTCTCTCTCCTCCGGTGATATCATATAAGCGGTTGGCACCTCCATCAGCACAGGCTCTTAAAAGAGCTTCAAATAAAAAGAATACAGATCATTTCAATACAGGAAGCACAGAGCAATGTCGTTCAAATGACAAACATTAAAAAGCAGATCCTGGGAAGCACACATAGTCACTCTAACCCCGTTGGACCATTTCATACAAGCTAGTGATACCTCGGGTGCCAAAAGTGATCCTACCCCGCAGTAGACAAGCAAGACAGGATCACCCATGGACCACGTTGAATTCCTTTTCACATCTTTTTCACGCTCTCTGATTCAGTGCAGAAGGAGCTGGTATATGGGGCCAGAGTGCCTCCAATGTTTCTTGAAACTCGTTTTTCCTCCTTGGTAACAGGAGGTAGGCCTCAGGCTCAATGTCAGGCAATAGGACACAGTTATCATATTTCCCCCTTTATAGATTTTTACAAGTACTCTCTCTTTATGGCCAGTATTATGGGATTCCGTTTTTTATTGTGACTTTAAAGTTTCCTTTCAAAAATAAATCATCAACATAACAAGTTTATTTTAAAATATAAATAAAAAAAATAACGTAGAAGCCGTGTTGAACAACACGCAAAACTGAGCGAGACCTGGGAACTGCTGGGGGACCCCCTTTCCACCTGGGGCTTCTATCCCTTTCCTGCAGCTTCCCTGGCACTTGCTGGGGCTGATCACTCCCTCCTGGAAGTTCTCCTGGGGCATGGAATGCCGACTTCACTGCTGGTGCTTCCTGTCTCATTTCTATTTTTCACAGAAACATCCCCCACCTTACCATCAGCTCCGGTTGTCACTCTGAAGCACCAAACTCACACACACTTGGCTAAAGTCATAAGATGACGTGATGGGGTCTGCACATTGAGCATCTGCTGCCAGTCATCACAGAAAAATAGATGACCAGCTGGCTCAAGTCCACTCCAAGAACCAAATACAATGTGAGAAGCTACCTTCCTTTGAAATTAAAATTAATGACACATGTAACTGAAATTGGGACAGGAGAAAACAAATGGGTGTGTTCTCTTATACATTTGTGTATTCCTGGTGTGTCTAAAACAAAATAATCCTGATGAGTACAGTATCTAAAAAAGGCCAGTGGCACATGATTTGTTTTAGAAAATACAAGGTTGTAGGTGGTAGTAGAGTACCATTGAAATAAATAAAAATTCAGTTTCCACAGTGGAGATTTTCCCCAAAATTAACCTACCCACCAGGGTGAGGTGTCTTAGGAGACTTTAAAAAAAAAAAAAAAAAAGGTTTCCTGATGAAATATGGGGGTAATTTCACCTAACTATCTCCTGCAACCATAGATCGTTATACCCCATATGATGCTAAAGCAGGTGTAGGGCAGCTCTCTTGGAAATCAATACCTTTTTATTTGGCTGCAAAGTTAGTTATTTGGAACTTGCTCTTGAATAAGAGACTAGCTAAATCCAATACTGTTAATTAGTAGTAACTTTGAGTATATTAAAGTGTGGGCGTCTAATTTCCATTGGAACCACAGGCTTTGATGGTTCTAATTGTACTCCTGTACCTAATCTGTCTTCTCTCCGGGGCTACATTTAGGATCTTCCCTTTGTCTTTGGTGTGCTGATTTCATCATATCTCTTACTTGGAATTAACTGTGTTTCCTAAATCTGAGGATCTATTTCCTTCTTGTATTCTGGAGAATTCTAGACATTTTAACTTGATGAGTTCCCATCTTTGGCTCTCTGTTCCCATCTACCTCCAGGTGCTCCAATGAGATGCTCACTGTACCTTTCATGTTTCTTAAACAGTTCATTCCTTTCTTCTCATCTTTCTGCATGTGTGGGTCTCTTCTCAAATCTTTCAGGTTATAAAGTCTTTCTTCATTATATTTAATCACCCGCTTAAAACATTCAAATGTATATGCTTATTAATCCTTTTAAAAGTTTTGTTTGGTTCTCTTTTAATCTCAAGGATTTTTCAGGTAATCTGCTGTTGATGTTTTCGATTTCCTCATTTATTATCTTTTTAAAAAATAGTCTTTTGCAATAGTGGTGCACACCTGTAACCTCAGCGACTCAGGTGGCTGAAGCAGGAAGATCACAAGTTCAAAGCAACTTAGCAAGGCCCTAAGCAACTTCGAGAGACCCTGTCTCTAAATAAAATATTTAAAAAGGGCCAGAGATGTGACTTAGTGCTGGAGTGCCCCTGGGTTCAATCCCTGGTATTAAAATAGATATATAGATACACATGCACTCTTTTGCTAGTGGTTTCAGATCAAAATTTTTCTTTTCCTTTTTTTTTTTTTTGTACTAAGTATTGAGCCAAACCCAGGGGCATTTAATCACTGACCCACCTCCCCAGTCCTTTCTATTTTTCATTTTGAGACAGGATCTTTCTTAGTTGCTTAAGGCCTCAATAAGTTGCTGAAGCTGGCTTTGAACTTGGGATCCTCCTGCGTCAGCCTCCCAAGCCACTGGGATTAACAGGAGTGCAACGCCTTGCCTGGAACAAATTCACTTTTTAATGGACTCTCTTTTTATTTTATTTATTTACTTTTTATTAGTGTCCAATAATAAAACAGAATAGTGGGGTTCATGGTGACATTCATATATGCACAAAATAGTCTGCTCCATTTCACTCTCCAGTACTTCCTTTTTTCCCTCCATCTGTCCCTTCCTGATCCACTTCTTCTAAAACTTTACTTTTTATCCTGGGGCACAGAAGTGGGTGCAGGAATGTCTAAAATTTGACGGGGTGTTAAGGGATCTCTTCATCTGCAACAGACCAAAGCCTTGCCCCCTCCCACACAGCTGTTTAAATCCAAGCCCCAACATCACAGGATAGCCAATGACTGGGACACCAGAGTCTTCAGAAGAAAGAAACCACTCTTTTGAGGTACTTCTTTATTTTATGGCACATAGAAAATCATGGTACCTTTTTACAAATTTAGTTATATATTTAAGAGTGTTTTATAATATTCACTTGCAAATTTTGAGGTGTTTAAACAATAGTAAGAATACTGAAAGATAAATAACTGACCACACTGACAGAAACTGAAGCCTCACTTTATTTTTCCACGAATGCTTGATCTGTAAGACTATTTCCTGTGTTCTATGTTATGGCAAAAATAAAATAGAGGCCCAATAGGAAAAGCACATATTCACTTGTGTTTAAGTTTTCTCTTCTGTAAATGAGAGTAAAATTAACTGTGAAAGAGGGTTATTAAACAAATAATGATTTAATAATTATATAGTGCTCATCCCTATACTGGAGCACAATCAGCATTCAGGAAACATCATTCTGCTTTCCTTCAGTGAAAACAAAATCTAAAAGACTGTGTTCTTTGAGAAGAAAATTGTAGGCTACCCAGAAAATGCCAGAAAACAAGAGTTTTTAAAAAGACAACCAAGAAGGATGTACCATTTTACTAATTACCCACACACTTTATAACTCATGACACTAGAGTTCAAATTATGCTATAAACGTAACTTATAGAAAATCACAGAATATATTGTACATTTCCTATGTTTCAAAACCATCAAAAGCTAAGAGAGAGAGATTATCTCATATATAATATATAGTATAAAACAACTAATTAGGGAGACTGGGAAGACTGATTAATAGAAACAGATGGTAAACTATCCTCATAGTATATAAAACAATTCTCCATAAGCAAAATTAACAAGTGTAAAAGATCTTTTTATGTAAAAACTTATTCACTGAAGTAATATAAAAATCTGAGGAGTAGTAGGTTTTAATGGCTAAAGACTAACAAACAGGATGACTTGTCAAGTTTTGCACACAATGTTTCTTAGTAAAGATCTGTTGAATTCAATATTTATATCTATCAAAGGCTGGAAATGTAGCTCAGTAGAAGAGTACTTGCCTAGCATGCAAGAGGACTGGTGTTTCATTCAGAACACTCCAAAAATTAAATAAATAAACAGCATTTACACCTATTATGTGCTGGGCTCTTTCTATAAAATAAAAAGATGAATAACAACCAGATCCAACTCTCCGGTGGGAAAAAAAATGCAAACAAGAACAAATATGTCCAACACACTATACACTTTGAGTAGGCCTATAATAAAATCATCAAAATGCAATGAGAAGATAAGGAAAGGAGAGAGTAATTCCATGGACAAATATGTAAACTGCTTACTAATCTAGTTCAGCTAAGATTTCTGCTATTTTTAACAATCAAAAATCTGTTTTTAATGTCTGGTATTTCTAACATCTATAATTAAGCTGGTATTTTAGATCAGTTATAAAAATATAAAAAGCTAGATTAAAGGAACTAAATTTGTCCATGTCTATTCCTATTCAAATGGCAAAAGGAGCTAAAAATAACCACGAAATTTGTAGATTACTCCTGAAATTTATAATTACTCATCACAAACAAGTTGTATGGAGGGACTCAATCTATTTGAAAGGAGAAATAAGTGCCATTCTGTCTCTAAAACTATGTCCAACAATGCATCATAAAAAATTAACTACACCTCCTTTAAATTTTAATAAAAATGTTTTCAACAGTTATTTTCCATATATGTAAATTAAACTGAATTCAAAAGAAACCTCCCAATTATACAATGAATAATGTTGGCAAAAGTTCATACAAAATAATTTGAAAAATGTGTATACAAATATCACTGTTAGTGATAGTGACCAACTAAAGATACCATAGGCAGATGGCATATATGATATATGGAAAATAAGTTAGTTTTGATAAAACAAATATGCCTCAAAAATATTTGCTTCATCAATGGATTATTTCAAGCATTACTGCTTGAGTTATCTACTAATATAAAAATTCTGAAAACACTTTTGCAGATTTGTCAAATGCAGCAACTTCAGTGGTTGAGCAATTGCTTACTATGCATCAAGTTGATAAACAGTTGAAGACTAAATGTCATTAAAATGTTCTACAACAACTTTATATTTGAGCAGTTCCAGTGAGCATGTTAAATATATCCTAAACTGGCGAGTTTTTTAAGTTGGCATAATGTAAGTAAATGATACTGATACGAATGATACAGACACTGTTCACAATTATATTTGGCTATTTC